TAAGCCCGTGCGCCACAGCTCCTGAAACTTGAGCCCCTGGAGCCTGTGCTCCGCAATAAGAAGCCCACACACTGCAACGAAGACCCAGAACAGCCAAAAATAAACACCGAAATATTAAAAAAAAAAAAGTTCACGAACCCCACTCACACCAGTAGCTGGGTCAGCATTTTCATTCTCATCTCATTTCTTCCTTCCTCCACAAGTCACTGGAATGAGGCCAGGCAATAGCCTAGATTTTTCTGCTCAAGCCTAATAAGCTGGAATTTTAAACTATCATTCTTCCAATTTTCTATTTCCTCCAATCCCCTTCAGTGATTTAGGTCTTAACCTTGATTTTATTTAAAGACCAGTCCATTAGCTGGCCTAGGGATGGCCCAAAGTCCATCAACTTAAGAAAGGGTATGTGAAATAAAACCCATGTTTTATGGCAAGACAAGAAAAAGTTAAACCAAAAAAAAAAAAAAAAATTTTTTTTCTCTGACCTTTGATCTGCTCTCTCCCCTCCCCTGGGGACTTCCCAGGTGGCTCAGGGGTAAACAAGCTGCCGGCCAAGCCGGAGACTTTGGATTTGATCCCTGGGTTGGAAAGATCTGCTGGAGAAGCAAATGGCAACTCACTGCAGCACTCTTGCCTGGGAAATCTGAGGGACAGAGGAGCCTGGCGGGCTACAGTCATGAGAAGGCAGAGTCAGATTCGACTGAGCGACTAAACAGCTCCCCTCTATTGGGCTTTGCGTATCTGCATTATACAGGGACCATGCCTCCCCCATAGGTGGAAATACCTGCTCTCAACCATAGAGTAATACTATCCCAGCATCAAGGAAGCAACTCCTTAAAGATAACATTCCTTCTGGATCTTGGAGGAGATCACGGTGACCCACCACTGAAACCAAAGAGGACCCTGTGGGGCTTCTGGGCACTTAAGTCTTTTTTTTGTCCCCTCTTTCTTGTAGGGAAGACTCCAACCTCCATGACCTTCCCTGAGTTCCAAAAGGCAGATTAGTTGCTCATCAAGGGAAGAGCAGCCAAGAAAACACCTGAGGCAAGATGAAAGGGACTAAAGAAGCTCAGCAAGATTAGGAGGTGACCCCGAGAAAAGCTACGACCAACCTAGACAGCATATTAAAAAGCAGAGACATTACTTTACTGACAAACGTCCATCTAATCAAAGCTATGGTCTTCCAGTAGTCATGTATGGATGTTGAGAGTTAGACCATAAAGAAGGCTGAGCGCCAAAGAATTAATGCTTTAGAACTGTGGTGTTGGAGAAGACTCTTAAGAGTCCCTTGGACTGCAAGGAGATTCAACCAGTCCATCCTAAAGATGTTGAAGTTGAAACTCCAATACTTTTCTGTGGTGTTGGAGAAGACTCTTGAGAGTCCCTTGGACTGCAAGGAGATTCAACCAGTCCATCCTAAAGATGTTGAAGTTGAAACTCCAATACTTTGCCCACCCAATTTTAAGAACTGACTCATTGAAAAAGACCCTGATGCTGAAGGCAGGAGGAGAAGGGGATGGCAGAGGATGAGATGGTTGGATGGCATCACCGACTTGATGGACACGATTCTGAGCAAGCTCCAGGAGTTGGTGATGGACAGGGAAGCCTGGTGTGCTGCAGTCCATGGGGTCGCAGAGTTGGACACGACTGAGCGACTGTACTGACCTGAGATCTGGCACACACCCTCAACCTGTCAGCAACCCTACTCTGGAGGTATGGTTATAAAACTCCTCAGCAAGTTCACCCAGATTGGGAATCATGGTTTTTCAGGACAGGAACCCACTGTGTCCCCCTTTGCCTGACAAAGCAATAAAGCTATTCTTTTCTACTTCACCCAAAACTCTGTCTCTGAGATTTGATTCAACACCACTATACAGAGAAGCCGAGCTTCCGGCATCCCTGCTTTGTACCTACAGGTTTGGATAGGCACAACTGTCAGTATCACATCATTCAATACACAGCTCCCTCAAAAAACTTATATAACTCTGCCTTGACTTCTAACAGAAGAGTTCTTGGTGCTAAGATGCTGTTCCTGGGTTATAATCCTCCATTTAGCTCAAATAAGATTTCCATTTCTTCCTTTTTGTTGTTCAGTCACTCAGTCATGTCCAACTCTTTGTGACCACATGGACTGCAGCATGTCAGGCTTCCCTGTCCTTCACTATCTCCTGGAGTTTGCTCAAACTCAGTGTCCATCGAGTTGGTGATGCCATCCAATCATCTCATTCTGTCGTCCCCTTCTCCTCCTGCCTTCAATCTCTCCCAGCTTCAGGGTCTTTTCCAATGAGTCGGCTCTTCACATCAGGTGGCCAAAGTACTGGAGCTTCAGCTTCAGCATCAGTCCTTCCAAAGAATATTCAGGGTTAATTTCCTTTAGGATGGACTGGTTTGATCTCCTTGCAGTCCAAGGGACTCTCAAGAATCTTCTCCAGCACCACAATTTGGAAGCATCAATTCTTCAGCACCTAGTCTTCTTTACGGTCCAACTCTCACATCCATACATGACTACTGGAAAAACCACGGCTTTGACTATATGGACCTTTGTTGGCAAAGTGATGTCTCTGCTTTTTCAAATGCTGTCTAGGTTTGTCACAGTTTTTCCTCCAAGGAGCAAGTGTCAGGTACCAACATGAAAAGTAAAATTCTTAGTTCTAGCTTTGATGTGATCAGCACCCTGAATGCCAAGAAGGTAGACTGTGATGGGCTGCAATATGTCCGCCCCCGCCCCAGATTCATGTGTGGAAGTCCTAACTCTAGTCCCCCAGAATGTGACTGTATTTGGAGGCAGGGTCTTTATAAAGGGAATTACGTTAAAATGAGGTCACTGGGTGAGCCCGAACCCAATGTGACTGGTGTCTATGCAGAGGTGATCAGGAAGAAGGACCACGTGGAGACACAGGAAGGAGAGGTCAGGAGAGGCCTCAGAAGAAGCCAACCCTGTCTACACCTTGCTGATGGGCTTTTTAGCAGAGCAGATTTTGCCACCTTAAAATATGCCTCTTTGGCATGCTAGGGGAAACAAACTGAGTGAAACGACACACCCTGGGCAGGCACCAGAGTAACCATTTGCATGAGTTATTTCACGACAGGAGGTCCTGGGAAGGAACAGGGACTAATATGCCACCACCAACTGGAAGAGTTCAAGAAAGGTCAAAAGGAGACATGACGTGTCCAACCACCCCCCAGAACCCTTCTTGCTGGCATCTATCTTAGCTGACTAATGTGTGCGCCACCAGGAAGGACTCTTGAGTCAGAGTGACTGGCCAAAGACATCCCAGAAACTAATCCCATCACCATTAAACCTGAGACTGCAGAGCCACGTGGCAGAGCAGTCCTCCTGGGTTCCTTTATCCTACTGTTCTCTGCCTAGGCATCCCTTCCCAGTAAAGTCTCTTGCTTTGCCAGTTTGTGTGTCTCCTGGGACAATTCATTTCTGAGTATTAGACAAGAGGCCCCTTTCAGGCCCTGGAGGTTGTCCCCCTTCCTGCAGTGGGCCTATTATTATTATTTATAAAGTTATTTTATTTATGTATTTATTGGCTGCAGCCTGCAGCTTGTGGGATCTTAAGTTTCCCAACCAAGGACCCTGCATTGGAAGTGTGGAGTTTTACCACTGGACTACCAAGGAAGTTCAGCGTGTTAATTATTTTAAGGTGCTGGGAAAGATCTAGGACAGTAGAAGGGGGTGACAGAGGATGAGATGGCTGGATGGCATCACTGACTCAATGAAAACCAAATAGGAGTTGCCCTTCTGTAAAAATATTTACATTTATAAGGGGAATCTCCATTTGTAAGGGGGGGTCTCCCTCCAAGGGAAGACAAGGAGGGCCAGATCTCTACAAACTGTCACACTGGGAAGGTAATGATTAAATCTGCATAACAACTTCACCTTTGTTACCTCTGCTTTCCTGCTCACCTCCCATAATTGACTCTCCCCACCCTCAACATCCTTCTTTTTCTTGCTTTGTTGCCATGCCCTGAGGCCTGTGGGATGATCTTAGTTCCCTGGTGAGGGATCAAACCCACGTCCCCTGCATTGGAACCTCAGAGTCTTAATCACTGGACCACTGGGCAAGTTCCCCCCATCCCCCTTTTTTCTTTAGCTGAGGATTACCTAAGGTAAGGGCTTCTATCTTTTTGGTTACAAAGTTTTCCTGGGTCTCTCCTATGCATTTTTTTTAATTGCTCAGAGGTTATCTGACTCTTTGCGACCCCATGGAGTGGAGCCCACAGACTCCTCTGTCCGAGGAATTCTCCAGGCAAGAATGCAGGAGTGGACTGCCATTCCCTTCTCCAGGGGATCTTCCTGACCGAGGGATTGAACCCATTTCTCCTGCACTGGAGGTAGATTCTTTACTACATGTTATTCTGACTTGTGTCAACTTAATTCTTAGGCCAGACAGTAGAACCTAGAAGGGGCAAGAAAAATTACTTCCTCCAGACAACTTGAAGTCTCTTGAATTATGAGAAAATTCATTCCTGTTGTTTAAGACACCCAGTCCATTTTATTTCGTCATGGCAGCCCTAGCAAGGCCCAAAGCAAGGCCCACATTCACAATAAAAAAAAGTGAAGTTGCTCAGTCGTGTCCAACTCTTTGCAACCCCATGGACTGTAGCTCGCCAGGCTCCTCCATTCATGGGATTTTCCAGGCAAGAGTACTAGAGAGGGTTGCCATTTTCTTCTTCAGAGGATCTTCCCAACCCAGGGATCGAACCCGGGTCTCCTGCATTATAGGCAGATGCTTTACCATCTGAGGCACCAGGGAGGAAAACCAAAACAGATCAAGCAATGAACTTGGTGGTAGAAAGGAACAGGAGACTGGGGAGGCAGCTTTCCCATCCCCCCAAGTCCTAGGTGCTAACTCAGTCAAGCCCAACTTTCAGAATGAACCAAATGAATTGGGTTGGCCAAAATGTTCATTCTGGTTTTTCCATAAGATGTAGTGTAAAAATCTGAGTGAATTTTTTTTGTCAATCTCAATACTTTTACCCCCAAATCTTACCACATTTTCTGGCAGCTTGTGTCCGGGGAGATATTTCACATTTTCATGGTCGTTATTTATGATGTCTGTCAGTTTTCTCCCATTAACTGTTTCTTCAAAGACCCACATCTTGACCGTGGAGGCAAACTTCTGAAGTTTCTTGACATTATTACCAATTATTTTTGCGACAGCTGAACCCCTGCAAAAGAAATGGTGGAAAAGAAAACGATTAAAAAAATAATAAAAATTTTTTTAAAAAGAGAGAAAATGATAAATTCCCTTGAGCAGAAGAGAAAAAGCACCAGATTATAATTCAGAAGACTTGAGCTCTTATTCAAGCACTGAGCTTAGAACTCAAGATATGGTATTGCCTCGGCTAAAACTTAGTTGTTTCCACTTGGAGATACTGCCCTGTGGTCAGGAAAGCCTCAGAATTTGGTACAAGGTCAAAAAGTACCTCCCCTTGAGACTAGAAGGCATCAACCTTTCTTGGAAGAGACTGTCACAGGTGGAAGAGAAACCCACCTGAAAGATGCATCAAAATAACACTTCAGGGCTTCCCCTGAAGGCTCAGTGATTAAGAATCCGCCTGGCAATGCAGGGGACACAGGTTCAGTCCCTGCCCCAGGAAGATCCCACATGCAGTGAAGCAACCAGGCCTGTGCAACTCACAGGCTCGAGAGCACCCCCTGAAGCCCATGTGTCTTACAGCCTGGGCTTCGCAATAAGAGAAGCCTCCACAACGAGAAGCCCGACCACCGCAACTAGAGAGTAGCCCCCTGCTCACCCCAGCTAGGGAAAGCAACAGAGACCCAGTGCAGCCAAAAATAAAAAAGAAATCTTGAAAACAAAAAAGCAAAAAAAACACTTGAAGGGTTCCCAAAGTCTCCAAGGCCACTGGGCTATATTTCCAACCCATCAAAAGAAGATTCATATGCAGTTACTGTAGGATAAGCTGTGTTCCGGTGAACTCCACCAGGGCCCAGGTGGAGTCAGAAAGGAAGACCCAGGTGGATTCAAGAAAAAGAGCAGAGCAAGGGCTCCAGGTCTGGTCTCCCCATCAGACACCCAGCGACCTCTAAAAGCTCCCTTTTTTCTGCATCTCTATTCATCAAACATATCCTGGTAATAAATCAGTCACCCACAGGCTTTCCCCCGAGGGAGGAGAAGATGCCAGTTAATGCTAGTCAATGCCAGTCCTCTGCACAAGAGCCGTGGTGTGCAGCTGGTCCCCACGGCAGACATGCCGCTGGTCAGCTTGGGCACTTGTGTTTCACGGATGTGCTGGGTGCAGCAATTTGGACCAGGGGTGGTACCTAATCCCAGCTAAGCCAATCAGTTTCTTTTTCAGGACTTTGAATGGAAAAACAGTTTGTTTCTTAGACAACCTTCCTGGTGTGAGGAGCAAAGGAAAGAAAGGCCCGGAGCCCCTGGAGAATTCACATGTCAGGGCATTTGTTACTTTTTCTAACGATTATTCTTAAGACAGTTTGGAAAATGGGGAAGGGGTAATGACAGAAAAGGGGCAGGACCAAACTGATACAGAAGAGATGGAGAGGGTTATCCCTGGAGAGGCACTCCCTGTGAAATCCTTCTTCTATGCCAGCAGGACATTTATGAGCTAAATATCCATTAATCCAATTCCCCCCTGACACTTGATAGAAGAAGAGGCCAAGAATCTCCCCACCATCACTACCACCTTTATCCTAATGATTATCCTGACAATTCACAGAAGGTCAAAGAGACCAAGTGTGCTTCTGATGAACTCAGCAAACCGAGAGGGGTGGGGATCTCTAAGACACTAGAAATCCGAGTCTAGTAAAGCCAGTGAGAAAATAAACTAAACCACAAGCGCCCTCCCCATGGTCCAGTCTTACTGGAATACACCTCCTTCTCCCTTCACAGTCGCCTCCTGGAAGAGTCAAGCATTTGCAATCAGGGACAAACCTACTGTAGTGTCTGCTGAAAAGTTAGTTAAGAAAACTTAGATAACAATTGGAACTATTAAGAGCTAAGCCCACCAGACAGACCGTGTCCTGTGGTGCTCAAAGGGACTTGAGACAGAAAAAAAATGAGAACTCCAGGTATATTGTTCACTCCTGTAAGCTCATCAGGACTTCATTCTAACTTCTCTTTAGTTTCATCGAGTCTTCATTCAGTCTTTCATTCATGCATTGATCTTGGCCGCAAAAAATGTCCTGAACACCTACTGTGTTTAATGCATTTGGCTAGAAACTGGCAATACAAAGGAGTGCTCTCAAAAGCTTCCCGACCACTTTGGGACTTCACTGGTGATCCAATGGCTAAGACACCACACTCCCAATACAGGAAGCCCAAGTTCAATCCCTGGTCAGGGAACTAGATTCCCACATACCACAACTAGGACCTGGTACAGCCAAGTTAAATAAATGACTATTTAAAGGAAAAAAAAAGCTTCCCACATGAGGCAGGAGGTAAAGGGCCTCCCAAGGTAAAGAAATTCGAGATTCATTCCCTTTGGACCAAAACTCCAAGATGAGGATAGCAGGATAATTAAAGGAGGAAGTTGGACCCTGCCCAGACCACATATTTTCCATTCTCGAAGTCAGGAGACCTCCCCGACCACACATGTGCAGAGAGGCTCCCTGGAGGCTACAGGGGAGTGATGCCAAGGGATGTTCCCTACCCATAGGCCTTTTTGGTATAATCCATCTAGGCTTAGAGATGTACGCGCACATGTGCGAGGATCCTGAGATACATCAAATATGGACTGTGAATGCAAACCAAAATTATCGGCCAAAGGAAAACCATTAAGAAATGCCCCATAAAACTAATTCAAATTGCCAGGAGAGTGTGACTCAGGGACTCTCCCTCCGAGTCTGTCCGTGTGTCTATCCATACACACTGTACTCTTTTCCTCTTAATAAATGCTTCACTACTTTCCGTCTTTGTGGAAGTTCTTTTCTGCAGAGCTGAAAGGCCAGGGCTCCTGTCACTGACCACTGGTCTAGTGGCTAGGATCTGGTTGACCTTGATCTGGACTCAGTCTCCAGCTGAGAACCCAAGCCCTGTTCCAAGCCCTTGCAGGCAGAGGCCACCCGAGATCACACCCACTTAAGAGAGAAGGTAAAAGGAACTCAACAGTCCTGTGTGATAAGAGGTGAAGGGGAATGAGGGACACATGATTAGAAGGGTCAATTGCGACAGACTTTCAACACAAAGGACTCAGATGCAACCCAGTTCATCCACGAGAAGTCTCGCACACCCAGCATTCAGCTGAGAGAAACGATGGACAGACCTGGTGGGGGGTGGGGGGGTGGTGGTCCGGGGAGAAGACATGGGCACAGTCCCTATGTCTACAGAGAAATAAAGGGGCTTCATACCCTAGGGATGGGAAGAACCGGCAAAGCAGAGCTTCCAGCCAACACTGAGCGAACTGCAGACACGTGAGGAGTGGGGCCAAGCCAAGAACTAACCAGCTGACTCAGAGATGCACAAGCAACAACACGTGCGTGTTATTCTCAGCACTGCGTTGGGGGAGAGTGGGCTATTTTGCATCAGGAGCAAAGGGATGTATCGGATACGCAGCTAGAGGTAACTCCAGGTGATTCTGGGCCAAGCCGTTGGCTCTGTCACACACGGACGGGGTGGGGGAGGCTCAGGAAGAGATGTGGGTGGGGAAGAAGCAAGAAATTCAATTCACTGAAGAATCGAGGGAGATGAACAAAAACAGTAATACATAAGGCCTAGTCTTGTTCTGTCTAAGTAACAAACTTTTTCTGGGGGGGGATGGTAAGCAGAGATCAGAAATGAAAACTCTTTAGTTTCATCTCTTTCAGTACAATCTCCATTTGAACCAAGTACTTTGTTTGCTGTCCACCGTTTCTGTGTTGTTTCAAATGTATATAATTAGCCTCAGCATAATAAAGGCAATATATTCTGTATGACAAGAATATATATTTACCAAGAGAAAACTCTTGGAGGTGATGGATGTTTATTATCTTGATTGTGGTGACCATTTCACAGGTATATTTGTTATCTCCAAACCCATCAAATATTAATTATGTCTCACTCAGTTTTCTGTGTCTCCAGTATTCCTGGATAAAGCTGGGCTTTTTGTTTAAGTATAATCCACACCCAAAAACTCTTCTGTGGCTCTGAAACGGTACTAGATATGTTTGGGGGTGGGGAGATGAATTAGGAAATTGGGATTGATGCATATACATTACTATATATAAAATAGATAACTAATGAAACCTACACAGGGGAGTCTAATCAGTGTTCTGTGGTGACTTGAAAAGGAAGAAAGTTCAAAAAAAGAGGGGATATATGTACATGTGCAGCTGATTCATGATGATGGAAAGCAGAAGCTAATACAACACTGTAAAGCAACTATGCGTGCATGCTAAGCTGCTTCAGTCGTGTCTGACTCCGTGCAACCCTATGGACCACAGCCCGTCAGACTGCTCTGTCCACAGGATTCTCCAGGTAAGAATACTGGAGCGGGTGGCCATGCCCTCCTCCAGGGGACCTTCCTGACCCAGGGATCAGATGTGAGTCTGACGGCTCCTGCATTGGCAGGTGGGTTCTTTACACTAGCGCCACCTGGGAAGCCCTAAACTGTAATAAAAATTTAAAATTTATTTAAAAGAAATGTGTTTGTCACATTTGTGTAAGGAACAGGATCAAATAGCTAAGGGAGTGTTTTGCAGGAATCTGTGTGTTTTGAAAGGAAATGGAACCCACGTATAAGTGACAACCTTGTCCTAAAAATGTGCCTGGCCCACAGAGGACCAGTCCAAAAACATGCATGGATCCATTAGAACTGAGATCTTAAAATAAAAAAAAGAGAAAAGAAAAAAATACACTGCCTACAGCCCAGTCCATGGAGGCGGGCCGTGTGTGGCTTGGCCACAGTGGGAGATGGGGTCCCATAGCCACGATGGTGGAGTCTGCATGTTTCAGGCCTGTCCTATCACTGCCCAAGTCTGGTCAGGCATGGATCATTAACACAGCTGGGTCAAGGTCACAAGCAGCCATCGCTCCACACGCCCACTGTCTGTCTGCTGAACGCCAGGTCTGTGATGGAGTGCGGTGCTTCCCAGCGTAAGGAACGGGGGCCGGCGGGAGTCCCATCAGCCGAGTGCTGCCCAAACACACAGAGTCCTTTTCCCACGTGAGTCCTTTTCCACTCTCCCGGCCGCCCCAGGGAGCTGCAGC